TAGACTTGTTTTCATTTTCTTCAGTTTCAGTTTGAATTTGCATACCAGTAATTGATGGTCTGTTCCACAGTCTCCCCCTGGCCTTGTCTTAACTGATGATATGGAGCTTTTCCATCTTCTCCTTCCCCAGATGTAGTCAATTTGATTTCTGTATGTTCCATCTGGTGAGGCCCAGGTGTATAGTTGTCTGTTATACTGTCTAAAGAAGGTATTTGAAATAAACAAATCATTTGTCTTGCAGAAATCTATCATTCATTCATCAACATCATTTCTATCACCAAGTCCAAATTTTCCAACTACTGGACCTCCTCTTGGCTCCCTACTTTTGCATTCCAATCACCAGTTATGAGCAATACTGCTCTCACAGCCCTATTAATTGCCAAGGTTTTAGTTTTCTTGTCTCTGGGGCAATGTATTTGTTATTGTTGCCCATTTTAAATAAAGGTATTTAGTTCCAAATGTATGCATTATGGATTTGGTGTCATTATCCCTTAATAAAAAGCGCTTCACCTCCTTGGTGATAAATTTTGTGTATGTGTATACTTGGAAATTTAATTTTTTAAATATCCTTTTTTTTTATTGGCTGCATGATTCACTTAGGTTTTATTAAGGAAGAGTACAAACATAATCATACCTGTAAAGCATCTTGTAACAAGAAGGTGCCGCTGCGCACACCATTGGTACCTCGTCCTTGCTGTCTCCGATTTCAAGGTTCTTTGACTCTGCTTATTTGAACTATTCTTCAGTGTTCTAGAATTCCAGCTCTTCTGTTACGATCAAACATTAGGAATCTGACTAATCTCCTCCTCCTGCATTCTTTTTTCCATATCATTTCCTCAGTATACAGCTCATACCTATTAAAGTAGTATTGCATGAAAATCACCATGTTTTTAGGGTTAGCATAACCTATACTATAGCTTAGCTTTAGTACAATTTACATTTGTTTATATCCTTATATGTGTTTGTTATCTGTTTAAGAATGTACATTTTTAGAGGATTAGAATTTTTGCTCTCTCATCTCTCACCTTTTTCCCCTTCTTATGTCCTCTCTCTCCTCTTCTCATCCTTTCTCACCTCTCTCCGTTTCTCTCCTGACCAAATAATACCTGTTAAACAGGAACAGCAAAATCACTAGTGTCATTAATCCTTAAACTTTCAGAAAGGAGTATCATCTAAGGGTTATATTGCCACTGGAGTCCTGGTGTGGCACCGAAGAGTAGGTCCTGGACTGCAAGATTGATGTGAACCATGAGGTCGGTCGGAACCGACTCGAAAGCCATTACCACTGCAGTTACACCCCAGTTTCTGGATTTCATCTGCTCATTACTCTCTTAAGAAGGGACAAGACAGGTCTTTGAAATAGCGATGTGGTGCAACAATTGTCTATCACCTTTCTATCTTTTTAGGTAGCTTAGTAAAAGCATTTTTAAAAGTATTAAAATGTAGCAAACTTGGTCCATATTAAAATTTTCTTGTAGTCATTTCTCTGATGGGTTTATCATCCTGTACATTAGTGGAGTCCTGCTGTGGCGCTGGGGGCTAATGTATCAGACTGCAAAGTTGTTTGAACTGCAAGGTCAGTGGTTCAAGCTCACTAGCTTCTCCTTGTAAACCCTATACATGGTCGCTATGGGTTGCAATCGACTGGACGGTACTAACAACAACATATGTTAGTGTAACAAAATCTTGAATTGTCTTTGAATTAAAAATGAAAAGGACTGGCGGAAAACTGCTTTTGAATGCAGTGAACTTCAAACCTCCTGATGGTTTTATAGTCTCATAAAGAATAAAAACAGTCTGAACTCATCCTTGACCTCTTTCAAAGGTTCCTGTTTCTCTCAGGTGTTAAGGTCATATTTCAGTTCCTTAAAGAAATGTCATGTTTATCTCCCCAATAGTTAGGCAGTAGTCCTACATACTCAGTAGGTAGACGAATTATAAAGAAACTATAAAGTAGACTTTATGTATCCAAGATATGCATTAGTATAAAATAAAATGTTGTGTTTAATCAATATAATTATAGTTTGTTTCATACCAGTCTTTATTAGGTCCTTATATTCTGTAGAATTCACACACCATTTCATTAGCTAGCTTAATCCTTGTTTAGCTTGACTGGCACAGAAATTGGTGAAGGAGGTGGTAAAGTTCTGTTTTAAAAACTTAAGGGTTAAAGCTAGTGAGTTTGTAAAAGAATTGGTTTAGATAAATAAGAGGGACAACATGTTGGTTTTGAACTTGGCCCATTTGATGTTTAACATAAAGTCTTTGGCTTCTCTTACAGAGTTCTCTGGGGTGCTTCATCAGTGTCACATTCTGGCATCGGAAATGGTCCATTTCATTCATCAAATGCAGTATTACATTACATTTGAGGTATATTTTCATCATCCTGTTTCTTTTAGTTTAAATAAGTCCTAACGGTGATATTTTATATTAGGGAGCACACCACATGCTCAATCATTCTGAATTGTTGTTTTCTAGGTACTAGAGTGTTCCTGGGATGAACTCTGGAACAAAGTCCAGCGGGCTCAGGACTTGGATCACATTATTGCCGCACATGAGGTTTTCTTGGATACCATCATTTCTCGGTGTCTGCTGGACAGTGACTCCAGGGTAAGACTTGTGTTTCTTTTGCAGCCTTAAAAGAAACAAAAACATTCTTTTCTTGGTCTCCTGTCACAGGGAAATCACCCTATTAATAGTAATTAAAACACCTTTATTAAAAGCTTGATATTCTAAGTACATTTTCTAAACCGAATTGGAATAGTAGTGCCGAAACAAGTAGAACATACTCTAAAATGTCTAGAATAGAGATAAAAATTGTAAAGATAATAACAGTTACCTTAACAGCAGTATCTGTTCATCTCCTACATGTAATAATAATACCCCATTGTTCTTGATTTAAAAAAAATAGTTTTAAATCCATTTTCGTTGATGGACCAAGTAATCGTCAGTGATGGCTACGAGTTGGTTAAAGGTAATATCTGAGCAAAATAAATGAACACATCTCTGTAAGAATAGAACCAAGTGCAACATGTAAGGAAAATTCAGCAGAATCAGGAAAAGTAATGTAGACTCCATTAGGTTATATTTTTATATAAAAATATATTTTTATAAATGTATTCATAAAAATGTAACATAGTGGGCTCTATATTACTTCTCATTATAATAGATCAAGAAAATAAAAATATTTTGTTGTTTACTTTTATAAAGTTGGTATCTGACTTCATGGGTTTGAAAGTAGAATGTTTATGTAGATAAAATCCTCAGCAGTCCCTTGCCCCTTTTCCTCTAGGGGCTGTTCTGAAAATTGAATATTACATATGGAAAATTGTCCTAGGTTTGCATTTTATTCACTGATGAGTGACAAAAAAAAAAAAAAAAATGTTCACTTGAAACCAATTCTGTTAGGTAGATGCAAAACTCAAGTTCATTTTTTAAATTGAATTTGAGATTTCAAAAGAAATGCCAGACTTTATGAAATACATGTAGGTGTTTGTAAGGGGTTTCTAGATATTTTGTTTGATGAGGTGTATTGTGTAAATTTTATATTTATAAATGTAAAAAAGGTACTGACAAAAAATGTATATAAAACTTTTATGAAAGATTGTGTTACTGACTGGATACATTTAAAAGAAAATCTATTTTGAAATCTGGTCTGCCATAAATAGAGATAATTTATTTGTATACTGTGCTGTTGGTTTTTAAATTAAGCTTCCTAACACATACTGCATTTGTGGTGGATTTAAGAAGCAGGTTGGCCAGGCTTGCAGAGGTCTGCCTCAGAGGAAACGTTCAGTTTCTTCAAGGATATTTCATGGAAAAAGTATTACTTCAGGGCTTTCATTTTTCTTCAACCTGACTGAGAAAATTAGTATTTTGATATGTTAGATTTCAGCATTAATTACTAATTAAAGTACAAAATTGCTCTGATCAGTAATAAACATGGAATATATATATATGTTTATAAACACATTGAAATGTTATAAAAGAATTCAAGGTGCTTCTACTGTAACTAATAATTTAGTCACTGTAAATTTTAGGCTTTGGGATCCCTATTACTAGTAGTAAACCTAATTTTAGGGAGTCCAGTCGCTCTGTAGGATAAGCACTGGGCTATAAACCACAGGGTCACTGGTTTGAACTCACCAGCCACTCTTTGAGAGAAAGATGAGGCTGTCTGCTCCCACAGAGAAGTAGCCGAGGGAGCTCTGGACAGGGCCACTGTGAGTCAGAACTGACTTAATGCAGCCCTGGGAGCTCCGGACAGGGCCGCTGTGAGTCAGAACCAAATCTCGTCTTTATCACACTAGAATTATAGCAAGTTTCAGAATATCTATGAATTGCCTGTCAGATTGTTTAATATATTCAGTAAATATAGATGAGCATCTTCATTTTGTTATTAAAATATTGATGTAGTAACAAATTGGACATTATTCCTAGATTTGACTATCATGAATGTAATAAAGTTAGACTTACTTGCCTACATGCTAAGATATTGTAGTTAGGTGCCACTGAGTCAGTATTGGACTCCTAAGACCCCATGTGGACTGGTGGAGCTGCCCCACAGGGTTTTCTTCACGTGGTCTTTGTGGACGCGTGGGCCAGGCCTTTCCCTCAGAACCTCAGCATGGGATCAAACTGCCAGACTTTGGGGTCGCAGCTGAGGGCTTAATTATTTCCCCACCTGAGCAGCTTAACATCTAAAATAGCCATGGTCCGGGCTAGAGTAGGTCTCTAGAATCAGATAGACCTACGTGTCCATCTGCAATTAATAGCTATTTGAGCCCAGTATTTTCATGCATTCAAATGGTGCATTGCTCATCCTTCTTCAGTAGGTTTGTCAGAATTACATAATCCATGTAAAATGTTTATCATAGCAGCTGGCACATAATAGTTGTTCTTATTAAACAGTTCAAAACCATCTTTCATAAATGAGAGAGAGAGTATGTGTGAGTGCTTAATATTTGTGTGAGCATGTTGGTGTGCGTGTGTTATTTTACAAAGGCCCTAAGGAACTTTAGGAGTCGTGTGATGCATGCTGGGAGTTAATGTGCTGGACTGCAGAGTCGTTTGAACCCCAAAGTTGGTCGGCAGTTCAAGCTCATCAGCTGCTCCTCAGAAACCCTATACAGGATCACCATGGGTCAGATCCAACTCAAACGCACTTAACAACAACAACAAAGGATCTTAGCTTTAGTTTTGTTGTTGTTGTATTTTTTTTTCAGTCTCACACGTCCACCTTGCCTTTGTAGTTAAAGTTAACTGGAATGTTCCCAGATTTTTATTGTGGGAAAAACAAATAAAAATGTGTGTGTGTGTGTGTGTGTGTGTGTGTGTATATATATAGCCAACATCCAAATACTGGTTTCGGCTTATGGTGGATAAATGTTTGTTGTTGTTCTGTGCTATCAACTTGGTTCGGACTCATTGCACCCTATATATGAGTTCCTAGATCAGCTGGTAGGTTTGAACTGCCAGTCTTGCAGTTACCAGTCCAGTGCTTACTCTACAGCAAAATATATGTTGTTAAGTGCCATTGAGCCGGTTCTGACCCATAACGACCCTGAATAGGGTTTCCAAGGAGCAACTGGTGATCTTGCAGTTCAAACGACTTGGCAGTCTGACACATTTAACCCACAGTGCCACACCAGGCTTTCTAAATAATTGTCTAAAAATAAATAATACTCAGTTGTCTGGCCCATTTTATTACCTTGGAATTTCTTTTGTATCCAACTCTTTGGATCTTCATGGTACATTCTTCCTCAGAATTTGGAACTGTTTCGGCACTTGTATAAGATTCTACTTTGGGCTGGGGGATAGGGAAGGAGTGAATGTTTTTGTGAATATTCATTGTTCTTGTTTATTTAAACCAAAAAATCTTGGAAGAGCCTTGTGCACAGCTGTCTCTTTCAGTGGTTTATGCACCTTTGTTATGATCTTAGCAATATAGATGAATGTCTGACCAAGCAGTTGCTTCCTAACAGCTCTGTTAAAGAAGAAGGAACACACAAGTTAATGACTAGCTCATCAGTTCTGATAGAACCATATTGTTTTTACTATTAAGTGCCACTGAGTTGGTTCCGACTCATAGCGACCCTTTATAGGGTTTCTCAGGAGTGCCTGTTAGGTTTGAACACTGACCTGTCGGTTAAGCAGTCCATTGCTTACTCTATAGTGCCACACCAGGACTGTGATAGACCCATATATATCAGTGTAGTTTTTTACCTTTATGATTTTTGAAAATAAAAGCCCTAAACTCCTGTCATTGAGTTGATTCCAATGTATCAACCCTGTAGATCAGCGTAGAATGGCCACAGGGTTTCCAAGGCTCTGATCACCGTGGGATAATGCAGTGGACTGCAAGGCCAGTTTGAACCATAAGGCTAATGGTTCAAACCCACCAGCCCCTCCTCGGAAGCCCTGTATAGGGTTGCTATGAGTCGGAACCGACTCAATGGTACAGAACCACAGTCTGTATGGGAGCAGGTTCTCACCTCTTCTTCCTGTAGAATGGATGATGGAGTTGAATTACCAGCCTTTTGGTTTGCAGCCACGATCTTAATCACTGTGTCACAAGAGAGCTTTCATTTGAAAAAGACTCAGTTTTTCTTTTCAGCATGATTTTGTTTCATATGATTTGTAGGTTTTATAGGAAATAAAGACTGGTTAGATAATATTTTATTGGGTAAATTGGACCTGGGCATCAGTAGTATCTTTGTTTCCAATTTTATTAAATTTAAATGACAATTATCTTTAAAAAAAATTTTTTTTTAGTTTACATCCAGATATTTATTTACTGGATTGGATATAAATTTTGTCATATTAGACAAAATGTTTATTGTTAAGTTTTGAAACTGATGGCTGAAGTTTTATTTCCTTTGAGATATTTCAACATTTTACTTGTTTAAATCAATCATGGTTTGTGAACCACAGATTTCTACTTTTCATTTAATATTTTCTTCTTTTAGACAAGATTCCACAGGGAATGAATATTTGCGGTATGAATGCTGCCGTAGTTTAATACACATAAAATTACTTTAATAGATTAAACCACTAGTTCAATATATACTAAACTACTACATATCGACCTTTTAAAGGAAAGTCTTTTGTATCGTCTAGTGATCATTGAACGGATGACATCAGCAGGAAAATGAGCTCGCAAGGGCTGCCTGTGAGTTTGGCTTCACTTCTGTGTGTGCGTCACTTGATCTGTAATGTGTCAGGTTACTGCATCGTCTAAGTAATACGATAGTACTTTTTACAACTCAAGTGTGTCAGATATATTTTGAGTATATTTTCAAAGAGAAAATATCTAACATTTTTATTCATGGGATTGCCTGTTAAGATCTTATATAATACAAGTGTTCCATTGACTCAGTATGGGATATTTTGAATTGAATTGATCCAAAAGTTTGAAAGGATGATAGTAGGAAATTTTGGTGTGGGCTCTTTTCTGTATCAGTATGTTGAACTATCTCTAGGCCAGTATTCCTGGTTGGTTATTTTAACTGTATACTAATTCTTCCTCTATTTGGGCCGGTCCTTACATAATACTTGCTTTTACAGAAGAAAAAGTTCTTGGTTCTTCTTCATCCTTTGCCCAAATGTGAATTGATGGAGCTGCTTGCAAATTTGAAAACTTTTGGCATATAAATTGCAATTCTATTAATTTTGTAGATAAAATATGGCCATTTCCCATGTTGACTATAATGAGTATTTCCTTTTATAAACGTAGAACCTCTACAGTTACATAGATTTATACTTCTCAGTAAAGTTACATAATTTTCCCCATGAACATCTTATAAGTTGTCAGATTATTATGACATTAAATTTTTTTTACAGGCACATAAATATGCTGCTTTGATCTTTTATCTATTTTCCTACTTGTAGTGGGGGTAATACTTTGTCCAAATAATAAATTTTTTTTTTTCTGAACAACCTGCCTTTTGTTTCTTTTTCTTCCCTTAGAGCAGCAGGGGTGGGGAACCTTTTTTCTGCCAAAATTTACATCATTCATGGGCCATGCAAAATTATCAACTTAAAAATTAGTCTCCTATATTTGGTCCAACATTTAATGAACTCACCCCTAATGTGATGGTTCTGGTTGCTAGGAGTCAGAACTGACTTGACAGCACTTAACAACAACGTGCTGCCTGGGACTGCAATTGCCTTGGCAGAGTCAGACTAAATGACTTGTAGGGCCTTAGCCCACCCGTAGGCAGATGTTCCCCACCCGCCATAGAGCGATAAGTTGACAATGTAAGCACCCGTGGGAATCCCTGTCTTCTTCCCAACATTAAGAAGATGCTTTATTATTTTCATTATTGACTATAATGTTTGCTAAGCATAACAGCCTTTTTAAAATGATGGCTTGTTGTTATTATGTGCCGTGGAGTCGGTTCCAACTCATAGCGACCCTGCATAGGGTTCCGAGGCTGTAAATCTTTATGGGAGCAGAAAGCCTCATCTTTCTCCCTCGGAACAACTGGTAGTTTCGAACTGCTGACTGTGAGATTAGCAGCCCGATTCATAACCACTACGCTACCAGAGGTCCTTAGATGATACTATAGATCTTTGTTTTAATTATCAATATTTTATTTTAAAATCTTAGGAAATATGTTCAATTTCCTCTCATATTAAGAAAAACATTTTCTTAATCTCTTCAGGCCCTTTTAAACCAACTTAGAGCTGTGTTTGATCAAATTATTGAACTTCAGAATGCTCAAGATGCAATATACAGAGCTGCTTTGGAAGAATTACAGAGACGACTACAGTTCGAAGAGAAGAAGAAACAGCGTGAAACTGAGGTATGGTTTCTGTGTTCTTGGACTTACCCATTTTAGTACTTCTTGTTGCCACAGTATGAACAAATAGCTAATTTTTCTACTGAAATTTTCGTACAACTGGAAACCACACTCATATCAGCATTTGGAAGTCTTTAGAAAGTACTGGCTGTTAAAGATGGGCATGGTCATCTTCACCATCATCATTTAAAAATATAAAATGTATGAAATCACAGATACCATGCCAAGATCCCTGTGTCCTTCTGGATTGCCATGTGCACACAATGGGAATTCCAACTCTGTTGCTTCTGTTGTTTTAAGCTAGTGGACCTTGCACTGTAACCTGTTTTGTACGTATATGAAAATCCAGTTTCTCTATTTAAAGCAATTTGCAGTGACCTTACTAAATAAAGTATTGTATGTTCTTAGTTGCCTTGAATTATGAAAGTTATTAGGCCAATTTGTCAGTTTATGGAATTTCTTTTATTTGCTGTGATCTGTATTCCCTTGAGGAGCCATGGTGGCACTGTAGATAAGCACAAGGTCTGCTAGTTCCAACCCACCAACCACTCCGAGGGAGACACATGTGACTTTCTGCTCTCGTAAGATTTATAGACTCAGAAACCTGGTACAAGGTCTCTATAAGTCAGAATTGGCTGTGTGTGGGGGTAGGGGGTGGTGTGTGTGTGTGTGTCGGGGGAGTGAGGAGTGTGTGTGTGTGGTGTGTGTGTGTAAGGTGTTGGATGTTGGTTGGTTCTAACTCTGGGTCCACTCTCTCACTTGCTGTCAAGTCGATTCTCACTCTTACCACCTGGAGCTGGAATCTCTGTGAGAGCAGAAAGTCTCATCTTCCTCCCACAGTTTGGCTGCTGGGTTTGAGCTGTCCATCAGCCTTGTGGTTCACAGGCCAGTACTTAGTGGATGCACCGCAGCAGGACATAGTCTTTAGTCAGCACAATGTGATTCGGCTCTGCTTTTTTTGAATATTCATGTTCCCATGTTCCCTTAAGGAGCCCTTGGTAGTGTTGCAAGATAAGCACAAGACTGCTGACATCAAGGTCTGCGGTTCACACCATCTGTTCCACATGAGAAAGGCAAGGCTTTCTGCTCCCGTAAAGATTTACAGCCTCAGCCTTGGGGGCGCTTGGTTTGTTTTTCGGTGTACATTCTCTGAAAACTTGGGTGTAGACGCCCCATTTTTTAGTATATTTTGGAAAAAGAAGTAATGCTTACCACATTAATGTTGCTGAGGTGTTTCATGACTTAGAGTGTCAGAGAGGACTTGACACCCAATCACTTCTTCCTCCTGAACCGCGTTCATTTTACTCAGCTGGGTTCAAGAATGCACTGCAATCACCACACAGAACTCAGACCCCATACTCACTTATGGGCTTTATTAGGGAAGTTATTGTTAAATGCTGTCGAGTCAGTTCCAACTCACAGCAACCCGATTTAGGGTTTTCAAGGAGCGACTGGTGAGTTTAAAGTGCTGACCTTGGAGTCCAAACCATCCTTGTGGCCCAATGCTTATCTTACAGCACTACAGCAAGTTAACAGGTTAAAATTCACAGTCAGAGATGTTCAGGGCACTGATCTTCCAGTTAGGACAGCCTCACCTCAGCCATGCTCACTGCCAGGACTCTCTCTGCACTGACAACATTACGAAGAGCTTTAGGGCTGCTGATAGATGCCCACAGGGCACTCCACTCCACCATGAGCCTCCGCCTGAAGGTACTCAGCCCTAGCTCCCCCAGTTCAGTCTCTGGGAGGCACTCCATTCTACAAATCAGCCTCCCGCTCACATTTCTGTCCATGAGTCCTGTGCAGGTTTCAGGGTCTGCCCCTGCTGCTCCTCTGACACTTCTCCCAGCTCATTGCTTTCTCTCCCTGGGGCAAGGGGCTTGAATGAGCATACGCAGGGTCCAGAGTATGTACTCCAGTTCTGGCTCTTCCTTGATGGTCGTGAGATCCCCCTACCGATCTGCTTCTGAGTTAGCTCATGTGATACCTGGCAGGCTGGCAAAATTGATCCATCCCAATTAGCCTTGTTAACAGTTCTCACAACTAAATTATATAGTCATCAGCATCTTTCCCCACCCACTCTTAACCTAGATCCATCAGAAAAAGTCGTTAGGTGAGAGTGTACAAAGATTGTCTAGAAGAGACATTGCACAAGTTTGGCTTACGATTCTAAAGTGTCAGAGAGTTTGTGTGCACAGAGTCTTGTGAACCTCGTCCAAACAACCTTGTGGATAGCTGCTGGGTTCTGTAGACTAAAGATTCTCTTCCAGCTTTACAGTTAGGCTCGTTGTACACTTGGCTGACTGAACTTCAAGGTAGAGTTTTCTTATTTGTAAAACAGATATAATTGTAAATAATAGTTCTTAGTTCCTGATTTTCACCTGACACTGTTTGTCAGTTATTTAGCATTTGTTAAGTGTCCAATAAGTGCTGACCATTGCCTTTCCTCTTTCTTTTCTTTAACTGTTCATATCTGTCTGCAGAATTACTTAACTATATAAAAGCTACTAAAAAAAAAAAAAAATCAATCCTTAGGATCTTAACACTATGATAATAGCATGGCTGCCAGCTATGTTGGCGTTGATGATCTCTCTCCAAACTATCAGCCATCAACAGTGGAGTGAAGCAGACATAATGCTAAGTCCAGGATTTCTCAGCGTACTTCATTCAGACATATTTAAGGGCACAGCAAGGGGTCTAAAAGCTCAAACTGCAAAAGGAAAACTGTTTAAATTCAAAAGACAAAATGGTTGTCTAAGCTATTGTTTAAGCTGAAATTTTGAGGAGATTATACAAGAGACTCATAAGAAAGTCCCAAGAGCTTCTAAGATTGTGTTGTACTGAAGGTGACTCTGCTTACTTCACTTTCGACATCCTGTCATTGAGAGAACCCCCATAGTGTTCTCTTCCTTCTTTAATCCATGTCTCTAGTTCTTTGCCCTTTCTCCACCTGCCTTCTCAAACCCCTACATTGTCATGATATTTCCTATTCAAATTGAGGATTAACAACAGGCTTTTACTTCTTTGGTTTTAAAAAAAAAAACAAAAAACACACAACATTTATTATACATTGGAAATCTTGGTTTCTCCCGTTAACATATTTGCTTCTTTGCTATCCTACAGCACAGAGACATACACTACAGCTGTCCCAGAATACAAATCCCGATACTACCACCAAAAGCCCAGATACTGAAATTACTTATGTTAGCAGTTACTTTTTCCCTTTAGACTGTCCGGGTAGATACCCACACCTGTTGCCCTGAGTTGATTCTGACTCATAGCTTCCTGGTAGAGCAGAGTAGAATTGCCCCATAGGGTTCCCAAAGCTGTAGATGTTTAGAGAAAGAGATGGTCACACCTTTCTCCATGAACCAGATGGTAGGTTAGAACCCCGTGCCTTTCACTTGGCAGCTGAGCGCTTGATAACTGTGCCACCATGGCTGCTTACTCCAGTGAATGCGTATGGCCCGATTCCATGTTGTGATGCCCCTTAAGACTTGTTCTCCTTTTGGAGTTTTCTACCAATTCCATATCCACAGTTAAATTAATTGCTTTCACTTTTTCTTTTAATCTGTAGGAATTTTATTTATAAAATAAATTTAATTATGTGAAATATTTACATGTTTTTGAAGTGAAGTTTATAAAAAACAAGACATTTAGACAAGTGTAGCTTTTGTTACCATCCACTCTATTCTACACAAACCTTTAACAAAGTATAGCAGAGCTGAGACCAGTCGTAATCACGGATGTCAATAAATACAACGAGACTAAACCCCTGGGAAGAACAGGAAAGGACTCCGGGAAAGAGCAGGTTAAGCCAGCGTCCTTCCATGACTGAACTCGATTCCCTGAAGCTGAGGGTGACTTGCTAGGAGACTGTATCCCTGCTAGTAGGAAAGTTCTGATAAAGAAGAGACCCACTCCACACAGAATGACATGGAAAATGAAAAGATTGAACAAGGCACACTAAATACATGCAGGTCAAAAGAAAGCAGCTTGTGGCTCAGAGGCAAAGCAGTAAACTTGGCAAAAATACCTTGTAGTTATGAAAGATATTTGCCATAATGAAGACAGGAGACAATTATCACTAGCTATAAAAGTGCCACATAATATAGGAAAAAAACACAGAGAAATGAACTTAAGTGTAGACTGTCAAAGGCATACAAATCAGTGGGATGTAATTGTGTTACATCAAACGTTTTACAGTAAATCTGGCCGTATACTTTCTCAACTGTCCAAGGAGCCCTGGTGGTGCTGTGGCTTAGGCACTGGCTTCTATCCACAGGCTCAGCTCTTCCCTTAAAGACGTACAGTCTGGGAACCCCCTACAGGGACACCATGGTTGGAATCAACTCAGTGGTGGAGGTTTAGTCTTGGTGTTTTTAATGTGTCCATGAAAATAATCGATTGCATATTATGCCTCAAAGAAAATCTCAGTAAGTTAATTACAGAAACTAGATTCACATTCTGAGAAACCCTACCTAGAGTCGCTATGATGTTAAATCAACTCGATGGCAGTGGATTGTTGTTCACTGTTTGATTTTGGTTTTGGCTATACTTACTACTTAAGGAGCTCTGGTAGCGTAGTGGTTACGAATCGGGCTGCGAACCTTAAGGTCAGCGGTTCGAAACTACTAGCCGCTCCGTGGGAGAAAGATGAGGCTTTCTACTCCCGTAAGGATTTACACCCTCGGAAACCCTGTATAGGGTCGCTATGGGTCGGACCCGACTCGATGGCACTCAACAACAACAACATACTTACTACTTAGTATAAAACACATTCTGTGGAACAGTGAAATAAATGTACAACTTAGTACCGAGAGTAGACTCCAACACTATTTGCAACAACTGAAAATTTTACCATTTGAATATTTAGATCTCTTTCATAAATAGTTCTTAACATCAATCAGGAAACCAAAGTCAGAATTAATGCTTTTTAGAGTAACAATAATGGAAATGCTATATGTTAGAACCTAGGGATACAGGTAAAACATTACTCTAAACGTAGAATAATCAGAGTGAAACTAAATAAACATCTGATTCAAGAAATTTAGGAATATACCAGTAAAATAAGCTGGGGAAAAAAAGCTGTAGAAAATGCTTAGTAAATATGAAAGCAAAAAATAGTGAATAAGAAGAGTAAAAAGGTACTAATAAAATCCAAAAGTTGGTTCCCTTTTGTTTTTTTTGGAGGGGCGGAGTGGGAGGCAGGTAGATAGGAATGGTGGAATAAAATAAAGATATTAACTCATCTAGTAGATAATGCAGAAGGGAACACAAATATATCAAACAAATGACAAAAATATCACTGATACTGTTTTGCTCACCTTAATGGAAAAAGAGCTATAAACCTAGTGAAAATTAATGATTTTCTCTAAATTTCCACAATTGACCTCTGAAGAGAAGGCAAATCTAAACAGAACAACTACTGAACAAGAACTAAATGAGGAACTCTCCACCTAAGTGCCAGAATTGTTCTTTGTACTGAGGAATTCTGTCAACCTGGGAACAGTGGGTAACCCTTATGCTCTATAAACTATTCCATAGTTACAGAAAAGAACGCTTCCAACTTCTGTTTATGAAGTTTCCTGAGGTTGATGACAAAACCCAAAAAGAGAACAAATAAATATTGATGGAAAGTGTTACATAAAATACTGGTGAAAATGTCTAGCAGAATATTGAAAGAATAGTTCACCGAGACTGGGGCTTAGTTCAGGAATGCACGGGTTCAGGAAACCTAGAAATGGAATTCACCAGGTTAATGGATTAAAATAAAATCTTAAAGCAATTCCTATATATGCAGAAAAGCATGTGGTCAAATTCACCTTGATTTAATAGTTTTTTAAAACGCACATTACAAAATAGAAATAGATGGTTCTGGAGGAGAATATTGAAAGTGCCATGGGCTGCCAGAAGAACCAATAGATCCATTTTGGAAGAAGTGCAGCCAGAGTGCTCCTTGGAGGCCAGGATGGCCAAACATTGTCTCTCATACTTCGGACATATTGTCAGGAGGGACTAGTCGCTGGAGAAGGATATCATGTTTGGTAAGGTGGAGGGTCAGAGAAAAAGAGGAAGACCCCTAGCAAGATGGATTGGGAAAGTGGCAGCATCGATGGACTCAAGCATGGCAACAGTAGTGAGGTTGGTCCAGGATCTGGCAGTGTTTTGTTCTGCTGTGCATAAGGTCACTGTGGGTCGGTACTGACTCAGTGGCAACTAACAACAACAACATCTTCTCTATAGAAATACAAGGGTAAATCAGATGCACCAGCTTATTCCAAATAAAATGTGTTTAAGCAAATCTGCAGCCAGTGTGTGGCTGTAGACAAGTTCTCTCTCAGTAACAGAGGACTTTCATTTTCTCCTTTGTGGGTTTGAACCACTGCCCTTGTGGTCAGCAGTTCAGTGTGTATTCTCCAGCACCACACCCAGAACTCCATAGGGTATCCTTAACAAGAAGAAAAAAAAGTCTACTCAAAATTGGCTTCTGAGAGGCTCTGCTGAGCCAGTTAAACTCAGAGCAGAGAGGTCGGCTTAGAAGGTCATAATGTCTTTAGGAATTCCAGAGGTTAATCTTGGTAGATTGTCTTCAAGGACATTCACGTGGGCTTATTAGAAAGGTATTTCAAGAAAATTAACAACAGTATTGGTGAGAAAGGTGTGTTGAGGAATTCCTGTTTTTTTTTTCCTGATGACAATGCACTTGCCCGTTTTTCAAGGGTATCAAGAGTGGACCCATGTGCGTTTCCTTGGGAAATCTTGCCTGCTCTTGCCCATTTAGACTTCTCTGTTCCACAAACTCAAAAGACATTGCTAAGGATGTACTTTTGAGTCCCTCAAAGATGCTGCTTTGTTGTGGTATAAATCATAGAGAAGTGTATGAAACTAGATGGGAGGATGTGTTAAGAAACAGCAGCTTTGCATTTTGATATTGTTTAATAAAGTGTTCTTTGGTTTTATACCAATACTTTTTTGACTTACCCTTGTATATCGTGTTTGGTGGGAAAATAATAAGGTTTGTTAGTAAAGTCAAGAATTAAAGCAAGATTTCAGAGGTACCAGTACTTTGAACCATGCGGTTTTACTTCTCTGTACTACATCTATGTTAAATATACACAGAATGACCAGAAGATAAAAGGCTCCAAGGAGGCTCTAGAAAGTTACTAGAAAAATTCCTTTATCTTTTAATTACATTTTCCACAAACTTTTTAAAGCACCTTTGTATTTGCTACATGTTGTTTGTAATGTAAAAGACTGGTTGACTCATGATGAATTAGATTGATGTGTCTTACACAATGTAATACTATAGTTATTTTTTAAAAGGTAAGACAGTTCTTTGTGTAAGCCATATGTATTGAAATCAAATATCTCTTAGATACATTGTTAAAAAAATCTGGAGAATAATTTGGCATCTTCAAAAAATCATCATGAACGTTTTGACATTGCAGAAGGTTATACAAAGCATTTATCTTCCAACGAACATAGCAGGTGCTCAGTTCCCCCTTGTTAATGAACAGCTCCTCCATTCATTAGGGTTTAAACTCACATTTGCTGCTTTGGTTCTTCAGGGCCAGTGGGGAGTTACAGCAGCCGAGGAAGAGGAAGAGAACAAGAGGATTCGAGAATTTCAAGAATCTATACCAAAAATGTGTTCACAGTTGCGGATATTGACACATTTCTACCAGGTGCGAATTGATTTATAAAATTGTGCTTATCAAATTCACATTTGTCATTTTCTGTAATTAACAGTTGTTTTCAAAATGACTAAACATGAATCGTTTCAATCAATCAATGTAGCACTTACTTATGTAGCTGTGAACAGTAAGTACAGTGGTTCCTAGCCCTGGCTGTGTAGTTGTAGTTGAATCACCTGGGGAGCCTGTGAAAGTTTGTGATGCCTGTGACTGGGACATTGGCGGAGACTTTGTGATGTATTCAGGCTACAGCGTAGCCCGAACACCAGGATGCTTAGAAGTCCCCGATGTGCAGCCACTGCCCTAGAGCTGGTTCGCATTTTTATCTTACTACAAGCCTAACTCTTCTCCACAAGCCCTTAAGATATTACCATGTGGGAATCTTTGATAGGAGACATACAGAAGTGTCTTGCATCTATTGCCTTTGTCTAAAGGGCCCAGAATTCAAGACTCCAGGTGGAGTCCTCCATTAGCATTTCTAAAGTGCTGCAACAAGAAGCTAGCCAACAGAGGACACAGACTCTGCTGACTTTCTGGATTCATTTTATGATTCTAATGGTGAAATCACCAAAGAGGGAATTTTCCATTCAGTTCATGTTAATTTTTGTTGCTGTTAAGTGCCAATGAGTCAGTTCCAACCCACTGCGAACCCTGTATAGGGTTACCAGAGAGCAGCTGATGAGCTTGAACCACCGACCTTATGGTTCAAACTAACTTTGCAGTCCAGCGCATGAACCTACAGTGCCACATCAGGACTCTTCATGCTAATTAGGAAAGCAAATAAAATATCAGACTCTCAAAACTTTCAGAAATTGTTTGTGTGTGTGCTAGTATGTTAATATAGAGCTCTGGTGTGGCACTGTGGGTTAATGCACTGGACTGCAAGGTCCGTGGTTCAAATCCCCCAGCTGCTCCTCAGAAACCCTATACAGGGTCGCTATGAGTCAGAACTGACTCTACGGCACTTTACAACAACAGTATGTTAATACTGCTCAAAATTTTTACATGAGTATCTTCCAGCCTGATCTGCAGGAATCAGATTTGCTCCACAGAATCCTCACACTTTCTAACTTTATGTTTTTCTTTAGTGTAACTTACAATGAGTCATTTCCTTGAACAAATGAACTGCTTCTAATTTTTGGCCTACTTTTCATTTTTGTTGAAAATGTTTTATAAGTGGTGGCAATGACTGGTTTGCATTCAATACAAATTTATCTTTTTATTAGATAGGTGTTTTAGTATGAAATACTTTTTTACCCCATCATGTGACTATATGTGTGTGTATTCATATTTCTTTTTAAATGGTTCGGCATATCGTTCAAACAAAATGTTATTCAGCTGCAAAAGAGTAATACTCTTTAATAACTTCAAAAGTTTGTCCATGTGCTCATTTTTTAAAAAATGATTTTGTTCAAACTAGTTTTAATCTTCACTGTAAATTATTATCATTCAATTTCCTTTTCCTTAATAGAAAAAAAAAACCTTTGCTGTTCTCTTTGTAGAGGTGCTTGAAAATGGAACTGTGTTAACTTGATATTTGTCATTGACTGTTTAAGAATGAGACACTAGACTCATTGTGGAAATAAATATTCAGAGTTACTTGTAATGAATTTTACATCATTATGTTTCAAACTATCACTTCTTTGGAAGTAACTGTCTAACTTTTTAGAAATATAATTTCTTAGGAACTTTTTTTTCATTTGCTCTTGAAATACAATGATATTCACACTCAGAAACACTACATTTGCAAAAAAGTAAAATTACTTTATATAACGTATATGAATGAGCCCACCCATACACCAGTCTCCCAGGTATTCCTCCTGAATCTACCTGTGTGCATTGACATCGATGTTTTGAGGTTGAAAAGGGTGCGATGTTTCACTGACTTTCCCAAAGCAGCCAGCAGCAGTTTACTGTGGGCCTCAGTGTCTGCTCGCAATGCGGTAAGTCTTGTGTTTTCACAGAAATGGGATTGTGAGCTAAGTGCCTGCTTTAACCGTAAGTAGAAAACAAGAACCCTGGTAGCGTAGTGCTGCTTACACATTTGGCTGCTAACTGAAAGGTCAGCAGTTCGAATGTACCAGCTGCTCTGCAGGAGAAAGATGAGGGTTTCTGCTCCCATAAAGTTTTACAGCTTTGTAAACCCTAAACAGGGCCACTGTGAGTCAGAACTGACTCCGTGGTATACCACCACCATCAGAAACATCAGTAATTTTGTCATATCAAAGTTGGAATCTTAGCCTGGAAGGTCATCTAAAACTTGTCCATCATTAGTGACACATCCAGAATCACAGCAACACTCAAATCACCACAGTACAACAAATTCCGTAACTCTTAATTGTGTTCATGAGGAACCTGTATATAGACCAAGAAGCAGTTGTTCAAACACAGTAAGGAAACACTGAGTGGTTTAAAATTAGGAAAGGTGTGCACCAGGGTTGTATTCTTTCACCATACTTATTCAACCTGTATGCTGAGAAACTAATTCACAAAGCTGAATTATATGAAGAAGAACGTAGCATCAGGCTTAGAGGAAGACTCATTAAAACCTACAGATCATACAAATTTGCAGATCATACAACCTTGCTTGCTGAAAGCAAAGAGGATTTAAAATACTTACTGATAAAGATTAAAGACCACAACCTTCGGGTATGGTTGCGTCTCAGTGTAAAGAAAAGGAAAACCCCACCACTGGGCTAACAACATCCATATAAATGGCAAAAAGACTGAAGTTGTCTAAGACTTCATGTTACTCAGATCAGCCATTGACACTTATGAAAACTACCGTCATGAAATCAAACGACATACAGCATTAGTCAAATCTGCACACGACCTCTTAAAATGTTCAAAAGCAAAGATGTCAGTTTGAGGACTAAGGTGCGCCTGACCCAAGCCATGGCATTTTCAGTAACCTCATATGCATGGGAAAGCTGGACAGCGAATAAACAAGACCTTAGAAAAATTGATGCATTTGAGTTACGGTGTTGGAGGAGAACATTAAAAGTACCATGGACCACCAAAAGAACAAATACATCTGTGTTGGAAGACGGACAGCCAAAGTGCTCCTTAGTAGTCAGAATGACCAGATTTCGTCTCTCATACTTTAGACATATCATCAGGAGGGACCAGTCCCTGGAGGACATCATGCTTGGTAAAGTGGAGGGTCAGCGAAAAAGAGGAAGACCTCCAATGAGATGGACTAACACAGTGGCAGTAACAATGGGCTCAAGTGAAGTTGGCAAAGGACCGGGCAGTGTTTGTTCTGTTATGCATAAAGTCGCTCTGAGTCAGTGTCAACTCAACGACAGTGTTTGAATAAACAGCTCATGTCATCTGGATAATGAGGAGAAATAGATAACTTTAGCCTTAAATTTATAAAGGCATTGAGACATTAAGGGAGTAATTTAGATTATACAAGGATTCCATTTTACTTGGATCCTCAATCAGTGCCATGGAAGTAGCACTCAAGAAATTAAATAGATGACAGATTGCATTGGGCAAGTCCGCAAAAGAGGTCTTTAAAATGTTAAAAAGCAAAGGTGTGTCTGACCCAAGCCATGGTATTTTTAATCTCCTCATATGTTTATGAAAATTGAATGATTCAATAAGGAAAACCAAAGCAGAACTGATGCATTTAAATTAAGGTGAATAATGTACCGTCTACTTTGGACTGCCAGGAGAACAAACAAAACTGTCCTGTCTAGGATAAAGTACAGCCAGAATGCTCCTTACAAGCAAAAATGGTGAGGCTTGCTCTCACATACTCTGGGCTTATTATCAGGAGGGATGAGTCCCTAGAAAAAGACATCAGGCTTGGTAAAATGCAGAGACAAGGCAAAGAGGAAGAACGTCTAGGAGATGCACTGACAGGCTGGCTGCTGTAATGCACTCAGACAGTGGGGATGAGGAGCACGGCGCAGGACTGGGCTGTTGGTTCTCTTGTGCATGAGTTGCTGTGAGTTCGAACCCACTCAGTGGCAACTAACAACATACATCTTTTATATCCTAAAGATTTATTTTCGAGTCATTTTTAGGACTGACTGTAATTAAACCTTTCATAAATGTGAAAGATAATAGTGTAAACAACTGAGTTTAATATTCAAAATAAAAAGGACATTATGTATGTTTTAAATTTTACTTTCCTGTTTTGCTTATTAGAGAATTTAAGGGCAGAAAATTTGGTTAATGGGTTTTAAATAAAACATACTCATATAGACTGTCTTCCAGATTTCTTGGCATAGATGAATAAGCTCCTCCAATGTTACATCAGTTAGTTGAAAGATTTCAATTTTTGTTTCTACAAAACAAAACATATTCATACATGATTTAGATTAGTAAAACGGGATATCTCTTACTTTTATGGGCTGCTGGTAAACTGTTGGATTATGAAACAGCATTTGTTTCTCTGTGCACCTGGGTGTGTATTAAATGCTTGTTGACTTAGAAGGAAAAAGAACTTCTAAGTGGATTAAAATTGTTTGGGTATATTTTGTGAGTATTTTTTTCCTCCCAAGAAATTAATATTTTATTTTTTGTGTTTCTTTTTAGGGTATTGTGCAACAGTTTTTGGTGTTACTGACAACCAGCTCTGATGAAAGTCTTCGGTTTCTTAGCTTTCGATTGGACTTCAATGAGCACTACAAGGCCAGAGAACCAAGACTGCGAGTGTCTCTGGGCACTAGAGGACGACGCAGTTCCCACATGTGAAGCATTCTGTATAATCACAAGGAGTTACAGCCGCTGTTAACTGCGTTATTAGACATAAAGTTCACATTTCAATTCTAAAGCCATGTGGCATGCTGCTCAGTGTCTACCATTTCTGCCCACTAATACTTCAGGTGTTCTGATGGCACTGTGTCTTGGTAGAATTTGAGGTCATGATTTTATACGTTAGAGATGAATAGATTTGTACTATCACTAAGTTAAATGGGTTGGTTTGCACTATTCAAGTTTTATTTTTTAAAATCTTATTTAAAAGATAGCACACTTTGTTGAGCATCAGAGTTCTCCATTCCATAATTTATATTTGTCACTTTGTTGTTGTTTTTTAAAAAAGAAAACAACAAACAAAACTTTCTTTGTGAGAAAATTAGGGTGGTGGGATATTCAGAAATTGAGGTGGGGGTGCCATTACTATTTTTTTAAAACATCCTTTTTTGTTAATATAATCAAATTGGAACAAAATGTCCCTGACAAAATATATAGACTATTTTATTTTGGGTTTTGATGTTATAAAGTATTAACCTGTGAGAACATTTATCTCTTAATACATTATCTTTACATATGTTTATTATCCTTTGCTCTTCTTTCAAAGTTTACATTTTTGTATTTAATTTAGTATTTCAGAGAATTTCTAAAACATGAGTGCTATGGAACAAAAACATCTACACCTTCATCTTCAGTGTTTTAAAACTGTTCGGCTGAAGCAATGTGTACAGATGAATGGCTAGAGAAGTTAAGGAAGTATTTTATTTTCAAAATCCTGGTAAACATTGGAAAGAAATTGACTTGGATAATGAAGATTTCCTTTTTCCTTGCCTATTTTTTCAGTGTAAATATTTATATAATTCTGACTAGATGTTGAGGGAAAAGTGTTTTTGTTTTTTTTTTTGTAAAAATGTCATATCAGGTCATATAAATTTGCCTTTATTATGTTCCGTAAGTGAAAACTTAGGAAATTAAAAGCAATTATCTTTCAAGTGCATTGGTTATTTCTTGATAAATGGGTATAGTTTACTCGCCAGGTTTGGGGTTGATAAGAGCTTGATCTAATGTGCAATACTAAATGGATTATTTGCTAATCACTGAAACCAAGACGTGAGACCTTATGTGCAACTTTAGTTGGGAAAGTTTACCTTCCACTTGATACCTGTGTAGGCTAACTTTTTAGTGATGTATCTGCAGCGGGTTCCTTTGATGTGTAGAGTCCATTTGAAACAAGAGGGGAAATCCAGAGTCCTGACAAGGCAGAGTTGAATGCATGATGGTCAGAAATTCATAGGCTATAAATTGAATTTTAGCTTAAAAAGCCATATAAAATCCGAAGTTTGAAGCAGGTTTCTCTACTACAAGACTTCCCAGGAATTGTGTATCTCCAAGAGAAATTTCCAAGAGTTACTTGACCATAGAACCCATTTTTTAAAGTTACTTGAAGCATTTCTCAAGGTGTTGATATTCATGGAACCACTGTGAAATGTGGTCTAGATTTAGGAATTACACCTCCGGTGAAGATTAGGAACCATCCAAGTAATTAGATTAGACCTCTGAATTATGGACACGACTTCTGTAAAGGTATCATCATTCATATCAGCGCCCAGGAGAGTCCTGGCAGGAGCTGGGTTCCAGGTCAAACTATTAGAATATAAACGTAAGCCCGGAAGGTGGGCTCGTCACCCCCCACGCTCCCCTAGGTAATCAGAAGAGTGTGGGTTGTGGTGATGGGAAGATGAGGCCGGACACACACATAACGTGTCCATCTATAATACGGGCATCATTGTGAAGCCGACACAGTCAGTCTGTTACGGGATAGAGGTGAAGAGTGGTGAATGTATCGGAGACTGGTACTGAGGGAAGACCTCCTTCCCACACAGGCAGGTAACTTACTGTGGCTGAATGGAAAGTTACACTCTGCTTAGAGGTGGAATTCTGTTGAAAGGACATGCCTTTCTTGTGATTATTAGGCTAATTAGCTCAACTGAAAGGAGCCCTGGTGGAGCAGTGGGTTAAGCATTGGGCTGCTCACAGCAGGGTCAAGGGATAAACCCACCAACCAGTCCCTGGGAGAAAGCTGAGGTTATGTGTCCCTGTAAAGATTTACAGTCTTGGAAACCATAATGAACAGTTCTACAGGTTCACTGAGTTGGAACTGACTCCATAGCATTGGGTTTGGTTGGGAGTTTTGGTTACCTCACTGGAATGGGACACACACTGGCCATTTCTTCCTTGCTGACCTTATCACTAGCACAATACAGAGGAGCAATAAGCCTCGATTCCTTATGCGAGAATCAGTCCTCCAGACTTTGAAGAATAGGATATGGAAGCACAGTAAACACAATTTGTTAAGCGTTGTCGAGTCTATTCCAACTTGTAGAGACCCTGTATAGGGTTTCTGAGGAGCAGCTGGTGGGTTTGAACCACTGACCTTGGGATTAGCAGTCTAGTGCATACCCTACAGCAGTACCACACCAGCAAACATGAAGGACCCGAGTGATCATTATTAAGAAAGCACTTTTAGTAAATTACAGTGTTCACACTCAAACTGAGTCACAGATCACAAACTATATACCAAAACACATTTGTTACCAGGAGCTGCCTTCATACTGGGTGTGCTATCTGAAGCTCTAAGTTACGTTTATTGTCAGGTAAGCACTAGTGTTGCTTGTGGCTGTTAATGTTTGAGTTAAATCCTTTAGTTATAAAGTAGTAAGATTTCTCTTCTGCTGTCATCTTTATGTAGAACTGAAGTAAATGGTTGCCCTGTGTTAGGAATGGAAACATCACCTTCTCAAGTAAGCGTTTTATGTATTTAAATAAATATATAAGAAGAAGATGATAGAACAATGTAGGAAATTAGAATTCAGAAATAGTAATTATGTATTTATAAGTTATATGGAAATAATGATCAGATGAATGCAATTAAGTATGTGAATTGTAGGTAGAGCTAGAATAACTCTGAATTCAGTGAAGTTACGGCTAGATTGCAAGGGTCTGCTGGAATTTGCCTTGGCAGAAAAGAAAAGAGTGACAGGTCAAATTAGCTCAGAGATGTCAATTCTTAGAGCTTTTTGCCATTTGTCAGAAATAGCACTGTCTTGAACTAGTAATTATTTATCCTAATGACCCTACTTAGTTTTAATAGCCTAAGAATTACTTGGCACCTTTTTAGTGGGTAGAATATAAACAACCTTCTCATTTATTAGACTATTCAGATATTTTGAGTTATTTTTTAGTAATTTTACTTTCTAAAATCGTGCATTTCCATTAAAATTTTCAAAGTCATTGGCGTTAATATTTCCAAAAATGTAAACATTTTAATGCATTCATATTTGAGTTATGCCCCTTTAGCTCCTAATGTGTATTTTTATTCATTTTTCCTGGTATATTGATCAATGTTTGCTAATTATTTCCTTTTCACTTTGATATTATTTATCATTATGCAATGTGTACATCATGTGCCTTTTTAAGTGATTTTCATATGTACTATTTCCTCTTGGTTTAGCATTTCTTCAATTGAATTCTTGTAGAATGTCTTTCTCACTGTTAAATCAGCATTTCACTTTATATAATGGATCCTCAAGGCCATTCTTCCAAGCATCCATTTGTGCAAACATTTCAGTTGGTGTTCTGTCAATTTCTGCAGACTGTTTTCCACCAGTGTCTGCAGTGCAGCTTGAACGTCTTTCTCCTGTCCCATTGGTTCTTGGTCATGTGCTCTCTCCTGTAACTGTTCAGTGCCAATTCACTTCTTTTTGGAATCGTGATTCTGTGGATCCTTTCTAGCTGCTTTTGATGTTTCCTGTGTCATTCCATAGTTTTTTGCCCATAGACTACTTAAATGTTTTCCAACTGGAGGCCTGACTTTTTTTATGTGTGTCCATTCCAAAGAAAGTTGATCCAGTAGAATGTGGAAATTATCAGACAACATTATTAATATCACATGCAAGTAAAATTTTGCTGAATTAAAAAATGATTGCAGCAGTACATCAGCAGGGATCTGCCATAGATTTAAGACTTCAACCCAGATTCATACAAGGATATGGAAGGAGGGATGTTGCTGACATTAGATGGATCTTGGCTCAAAGCAGACAGTACCAGAAGGATGTTTACCTGTGTTTTACTGACCATGCCACCACACTTGTCTGTGTGTTTTGTAACAAATTATAGATAGCATTACAAAAAGTGGGAATTCCAGTACACTGAATTGTGCTCAGATAGAGCCTTTACATAGAGCATCAGGCAGGCGTTCGGTTAAATAGAATGGGATAGATACTGTGGTTTCAATCAGGAAAGGTATGCGTCAGAGTTGTATCCTTTCACCATGCTTAATCTGTATGCTGAGCAAACCCGAGAAGTTGGACTATATGAAGAATTACTCTGCATCAGGATTGAAGGGGAAGACTCATTAGCAAATTTTGTAATGCAGGTTACTGCAAGAGGACTTGAAGTACTTGTTGATGAAGATCAAAGCCTTTGATTTGAATTCTACCTAAACATAATGAACTCAAATATCTTCATAACTGGGCCAATAAGCAGCATCATGATAAACAACAAACACTGAGCTGTCAAACACTTAATTTTCCTTAAACCCACAGTCAATGCCCAAGGAAACAGCATTCAGAAAATCAAATGATATATTTATTGCATTGGACAAATCTGCAAAGGATATCTTTAAAATGTTAAAAAAGCTAGAATGTTCCTTTGAAGATTAATGTGCACCTGACCCAAGTCCTGGTATTTTCAGTCACCTCATTTGTGTACGAAAACTTGATAATACGGAAATTTGAGGAAGAACTGATGTTTTTGAAGTAAGGTGCTGGCGAAGTATATTTAATATATTACGGACTGCCAATAGAACAAGCATCTCTGTTGGAATAAGTGCCTCCAGAATAATCTTTAGAAGCAAGGATGGCAAGAGCATACTTTAGACACGTCATTAGGAAGGACAAGCTTCTGGAGAAGGATATCGTGCTATGTAAAGTGGAGGGTCA